CGCGTGCGAGGCCTGCGGGAGGGCCTTCGGCGACTACTCGGCGCTGATCCGGCACCTGCGGGTCCACTCGGGGGAGAAGCCCTACCGCTGCCAGGTCTGCCCCAAGGCCTTCGCGCAGAGCTCCTCGCTGCTGGAAGCCAGGGCAGCGGTGGCGCCTCTGCCAGGACTCGGTGGTCTCAGGACGACGGGCTGGGCTGGGCCCCAGGTTCACACTCGGGGTCCTCGCCTGCCGAGCCCGGAGGCACACGGCCCACGCTACCTCTGTGCCTTTCGTTCTTTATTATTTATTTTTATTTTTCTGGCTAATCCTCACTCGAAGATACTTTTTTCATTGATTTGTAGAGTGGAAGGGCAGGAGGGAGGGAGGGAGAAACACTGATGGGAGAGAGACACGGACTGGTTGCCTGCCACACACGCCAGGCCAGGGCCGGGAAGAACCTGCAACCCAGGGACGCGCCCTTGACGGGGAGTCGAACCCTCGGGTGGAAGGGCCAGCGCTCTAACCACTGAGGACACCAGCCCGGGCTGTGCCTTTCCACCGGCTGCGCCTCCAACTTCTTCGTGCCCCACGCCCAGGCCGGCTGGGGCGTCTGCCTCTGCTGTGAGGCTCCCAGACACGCTCCCTCGGGCTCCCGCCGTCGCTGGGGGAGCTGCTGACACCCCCCGAGCGGCGTTCGTTTGTGCTCCTGCCCCTCCTTCCACTTCCCACCAGCCATCGGGCCTGTGCGTTCTACCTACAATCACCTCGGCTTTGCTTTCTCCACCATCGGGACCTCGTGTGCGGCCTCCTTGCCGCTCATGTGGGTTCCAGCAGGGCCCCCTCCTGCCTTCGCCACGCCGGCCTTCAGGCCACTCCCTCCACTCCCTGCATCTGATCTTGTTCTGGGTGATGGGAAGCTGTCTGACGCCTCACCTTCTACCGCAGAGCTTCCTGGATGGGATACGGGTTTGCCAAGACAGGAGTCACTCTGGGCCAAACAGCCTCACCCTCAGGTGCACCCGGAACGGGTTTGCCAAGACAGGAGTCACTCTGGGCCAAACAACCTCACCACTCACCCTCACGGGCACCCGTGTGGTCCCCTTTCTGCGAGTGCGCAGTGACATGAAACGGTTTCAAAGTCCTGCCCTCAGGGATGAAGCCCAAACCCCTGTGCCTGCCATTCGTGATGCGGCCCACGGGCCACGGGGAACGACTCGCAGTTCTTAAAGAAGCCATGTTTCCTGCCCACGTGCCTTTGTATCTGTGTCTGCCACTCGCCTCTCCTAAACCTGCCGCGCGGTATTCACTCCACGTGTTTCCCGAGATGCCGTGAGCTTCCGAGAGCAGGGCCCTGTCCTCCTCTCTGACCCACCAGCTATTCCTACAGGACCCAGCGGACCCGGACTCCTGTCTGCTGAACGCATGTGCTGGGGCCCATGCCTTTCCAGGCGGCTGCCTGTCCTTGTGTGTGTGTTCTGGGCTGTCTGCCACCACCGTGGGCTCTGCAAGGCAAGAGCAACCAGGTTCTCCCAGGGTCCCAGCACGCAGTGGCCTCAACGAAATGTTACCAGCCCGGCCAGCCTGGCTCCGTGGCTGAGCGTCAACCTATGAACCAGGAGGTCACAGTTCGATTCCCTGTCAGGGCACATGCCCGGGTTGCAGCTCCATCCCCACTTTTGGGGCACGAGGGAGGCAGCCAATCAATGATTCTCATCACTGATGTTTCTATCCCTCCCTCTCCCTTTCTCTCTGAAATCAATAAAAATATATTTTTTTAAAAAAGACCCACCAAGGAGAGAGGTTCAGCACAGGACGGCTAAGCCCTGGGGAGACAGATCTTGTGTCGGTATCTCCACGGGAGTCCCAGAGACACCCGGACTCGGACAGACGCCACCCACATGCGCCGAGGCGGACAGGAGAGCAAGTTGATGGACAGAGGGAGGAACTCCGAGACGTGGGACATGTCTTCCCAGGGACATGGCCGCAGCACGCAGCTGGCTCGGGCCTGGGACAGGCTGCGGGGAGCGGAGGAGGCGGACCTGAGCCTGCAGTCCAGCTGCAGAGGGACCCGGAGGAGTGACTCCGCTCGACCCGGGGGACCTGCTCTGTGCAGCACCTGGCCCAGGGCCCGGCCCAGCTCTGGCGGCACGTCCGTCCCCACCTCCCTCCGCACGGCTCGCCCATCTCTGTCACCCAAGGAGCAGACTGTCCCTCCGCTGACACTCGGCATCTCCAGAGCCCGCTGTGTCGCCAGGTGTGTGCCCACCTCTGTCTGAAGCAGGAAGAGGGTGGATTGGGGGGTAGGGGAAGGAGTCTTTGTTGTTCTTAATCCTCACCTGGGATACTTTTCCATTGATTTTTAGAGAGAATGGAAGGAAAAGAGAGAAACATCGATGTGAGAGAGAGAGAGAGACTGCCCAGACCTGAGGCTGGGCATTGAGCCTGCAACCAAGGTATGTGCTCTTGAACCTGGGACCCTTAGGTCTGTGGGCCAGTCCCACGCTCTACCCACTGAGCAAACCAGCTAGGGCAGAATCTTTGTTCTTTTTTTTTTATTATTGATTTCAGAGAGGAAGGGAGAGGGAAAGAGAGATAGAAACATCAATGATGAGAGAGAATCATTGATCGGCTGCCTCCTGCACATCCCCCACTGGGGATAAAGCCTGCAACCCAGGCATGTGCCCTTGGGTGGAATCGAACCTGGGACCCTTCAGTCCGCAGGCTGACGCTCTATCCACTGAGCCAAACCAGCTAGGGCAGAATCTTTATTCTTAATGTTTTCATTGATTTCAGAGAGTGTCCTGCGGGCAAAGGGGGCTGAGATCGCAGGGACAGAGAACAGAGAGGAGTCCCATCCCTCCCACAGCTTCATGCTCCCCCCTGGGAGACCTGGCCTTTGGCGGGGACACAGCCCAGCACCGCCACCTGGTGGCCGCTCAGCCCTGGGACGGAACAAAGTGCAGCCTCTGAACTGCCTCCCTGGGTGGGGGCTGGTTTGGTCCAGGTGGGAGGGGTTGGGTGTCTGGGGCCCAGCAGCCAGGAGGGAGGCATCTGGGTGGAGGAAGAAGGTCTTGCAAAAGGTGGGCTCCTCTTGAACCTGGGACCCTTAGGTCTGTGGGCCAGTCCCACGCTCTACCCACTGAGCAAACCAGCTAGGGCAGAATCTTTGTTCTTTTTTTTTTATTATTGATTTCAGAGAGGAAGGGAGAGGGAAAGAGAGATAGAAACATGAATGATGAGAGAGAATCATTGATCGGCTGCCTCCTGCACATCCCCCACTGGGGATAAAGCCTGCAACCCAGGCACGTGCCCTTGGCTGGAATCGAACCTGGGACCCTTCAGTCCGCAGGCTGACGCTCTATCCACTGAGCAAAACCAGCTAGGGCGGAGTCTTTATTAATGTTTTCATTGATTTCAGAGAGTGTCCTGCGGGCAAAGGGGGCTGAGATCGCAGGGACAGAGAACAGAGAGGAGTCCCATCCCTCCCACAGCTTCATGCTCCCCCCTGGGAGACCTGGCCTTTGGCGGGGACACAGCCCAGCACCGCCACCTGGTGGCCGCTCAGCCCGGGGACGGAACAAAGTGCAGCCTCTGAACTGCCTCCCTGGGTGGGGGCTGGTTTGGTCCAGGTGGGAGGGGATGGGTGTCTGGGGCCCAGCAGCCAGGAGGGAGGCATCTGGGTGGAGGAAGAAGGTCTTGCAAAAGGTGGGCTCCAGCCCCGCCAGTGTGGCTCAGTGGTTGAGCATCAACCGGTGAACTAGGACAGTGATGGCGAACCTATGACACGCGTGCCAGAGGTGACACGCGAACTCATTTTTTTGGTTGATTTTTCTTTGTTGAATGGCATTTAAATATATAAAATAAATATCAAAAATATAGCCCTAACTGGTTTGGCCCAGTGGATAGAGCATTGGCCTGAGGACTGAAGTGTTCCCAGGTTCGATTACAGCCAAGGGCACATTCCCGGGTGGCAGGCTCAGTCCCCACTGGGGGGCGTGCAGGAGGCATCAGATCGATGATTCTCTTTCATCATTGATGTTTCTATCTCCCTCTCCCTTCCTCTCTGAAATCAATAAAAATATATTAATATATACATATACATATATATGTGTTACTATGGTTGCAGATATCAAAAAATTTCTGTATGTGACACGGCACCAGAGTTACGTTAGGGTTTTTCAAAATGCTGACACGCCGAGCTCAAAAGGTTCGCCATCACTGAACTAGGAGGTCACAGTCCGATTCCTGGGCTCCATCCCCAGTGCAGAAGGCAGTTGGTCAGTGATTCTCTCTCATCATGGATGTTTCTGTCTCTCCCTCCCTCTCCCTTCCTCTCCGAAATCAATCAAAACATATTTAAAATTTAAAAAGGAAAAGAAAAAGGTGGGCCCTGGAGCCATTCCTTGGCCCCTCCACCCTGAGGCCCCAACCCAGCACCCGCCCACCTCCCTCAGCCCTGGGCAGCCAGCCCTTCAGCAGGGCTGCCACTGGCAAAAGACATGTTTTAAAGTCTTTTCACATTTATTAATTCCTGGGAGGAGTGAGGGGGAGCCCTCCTGACGCCCCACACACACACTCCCTGCTCCGGGCGTGGTCCAGCCTCGAGCTGCAGCAGGAGGAGCAGAGCCGGGGGGAACCAGGAGACCCTCAGCATCCAGGTCTGCAGCTGGATCAACGTTCTAGACAAAGTTGACAAAAATGGTAGGAGAGGAAGGCGCCCTGGGTGCAACCCTGGCAGACCTCCTGGAGCCCCCGCAGGAAGGAAGCAGATGAGTCAGCTGCCCCCAAACCCTGCCCAGGCCTCCCTCCTGGCACTCCAGCTGACCAGGCTCCTCGCTGCCCCAGGGCCTTTGCACCTGCTGTTTCCCCACCAACTCCAGCAGAGCGCACTAACTGATGCACCGGGGAGGGCACGCCCGCCAGAGGGCGCCGGCTGGGCAGAGGTGAGGGGTGTGGAGGGGGAGGAATCCAGCTCTCAGAACCCAGGGGGACTTCACCTGCCACCTGGAGCTCCACGGGGTCGCTCAGCTCAGACACTAGGGGCCACCAGGAGCGGTAGCGGCAGCTGTACTTGCCGGCGTGTTGGGGCCCCACGTAGGTCAGCACAAGGTCCTCGGAGGGGCCATATGCCGAGGCCACCACTTCGCCCGCTGCCAGCAGCTCCAGGGATTGGTGGGCCACTGGGGTCTCGCAGCGCAGGACAGCGTCCCGGCCCGGACTCACCTTCCCGCTCCACAGGGGCCGGAGCCGCGG